TGTATAATTGTATTTTGGAAGTTCACGTAAATATTGGCTAAAAATATAGGACTATCCTCCGCCTATAGCTCGGAAATCTTCAGTTTAAATCTTGGAGAAAAAAAGCTGTGGCTTTTGAGCAATAGGCAATATGCAAGTAATTTTGTTCAAATCCTCGTATTCATATTTTTTCACCCTATATTTTCGAATGAATAAGATACAGAGCGTGATCCTCAAGTGAAAATTCATACTCCTCAATTTATTTCTTGAAACACTTCTTTTTTAACGTCCGAGGGCAAAGGATTATTCAAATAATCCGCATTCCGATCACGTATTTCCAAATTCCCTTCAGTCTCGAACACACGCAGCCCAAATTATGATGTCGAAGACTTTCATCTACGCAATTTTCAGAAAATTGAAACACTTGCGAAAGAGTTTGGATCGAATGCATATATGCAGTCGTCGAATTGCGAATTTCGCCGGGGAAAGCTTTCGGCAAATACATTTTGCGTATAGAATTTTTGTGCTAAGGTACCGCAGGTACATTAGCTTCGAAACGAAATTTCACAACTTTCACCTAGAAAAAACCATCGATCGTCCATGTCGAAGGATTCGCCCGAGGAAAGACTCTGCCTGAGGCATTGGCGAACGACATCACGTTCATCATTGAAGTGTTGAATGGATCACGCATTCAGGTGGTCGTGGGGGTGCCAAATAATTGCGTCATTTTTTTCTCAATGCCCTCTGACAGAAAAGAGAACGAGTACCCCTTGAGCAATACCCTGTCTTGTCGAAGTACGCGTAAAGGGGGCTTAAATCGAGTGGCAGTGAAACAATTAAAGAGGTATCGTGGCCCACCCTTCAAGTCCCCTCGTGGGAGGTAGTCGATAATTAATTTTCCTGATGGTGGTGATTTGTTGAAGAAATGCAAAGGGCTTATTCACCAACTGAATAAAATTTTTCAATCAGAGTTTCCAATAAGAGCCTTGACTTGCGAATTTTCAAAAGCCGTTTTTCCATATTCATCATTCTGAAAATTGCAACTGCGAGTAGCACAAATACATTTGATTCCGAAATTCAAAGATATTCCAACAAACGCAGTGAGACTCTCGTTATCTTTGTGAAATTTTTGCAGGAACTTGTTGGAGTATTTTTCAAACGAACTTGAAATGCATTGTTGCCTGACTGGGTGTTCGCGAATCATTAAAATTTCCAAATGACATTTGAAACAAGGACAATAAAACACCTCAACAATACAACACCTTACAACCCTCATAAAAGTGGCACCTGATCTCGCGGTGTTTTTTTTTTCAATTTTCCATCAATCGAATGAAGAGGCTCAAGGGTTTTGTATGTGATGATCAACATATCAAGAAATATTGCTACTGAAAATTATTGAGTTTTCTTTTAGTTCGACGTTTAAATTTGAATGGGCGACTTTTAAAAGATGCACAGATGTTTGTGTTTTAAATGTAGTGAAATATTCGTCCATGCCCGTCGCGGAGAATATTTCGAGGCTTGTTTTAATTGATCAATTGATTGCTTCAAATGCTTAGGGCTCTTGAATTTTTAATCATACTTCTATAGTTTACATTTTGAGGCCCGAAAGCCGAAGGGTTTTTGAAACACTGATGGGAAAATGTTGGCTCTTCTTAAGTCTTTCTGTCACGCAGAAAGGTGCGCTTTTTTTTTTTGTATGCATACCGGAAAGGCATGAATGAGTTTGATGTTCCAGCTAAAAATGAGGAAGATTGTTGGTCAGGCAACTATTTATTCGAACTATTCATAATTCATTTCAAAGTACATGTGAAGAATGTTCATGAGACATGACGTGTTATCTCTTTGGAAGCCTGACATTCGTACAGCGCCACACCATCGATAATATTTATTTTACTTCAATTGATTGCCTTAAAGGTATATAAATTCTGAATATTCGCATCATGTTTCTTCCTGCTCAATTTAAATTGTACATGCCAGAAAGCCAAGAGTTTTTCGAAACACTGATCAGAAAATGTTTTTTATCTCTTCCGGTCACGCAAGCCATGCTTTTATTTTTTACTTATTCTGGAATAAGGATTTTGAATGATTATGTTGCTCCAGCTAAAAATGAGGAAGATCATTGGCCAGGCAACTATTTACCGGATTACTCATAATTGATTTCAAAATATCATGAAGAATGACCAGATATTTGAGGTTTTATCTCTTTGGAAGCCCAATATCTTTATTGCCCCACAAAAATGATCAGTTGATTTTATTTTAATTTATCAATTGATTTCCTCAAACGGCTTAGAAATCTTGCGTTTTAAATCATGCTTCTTCCACTACTCAATTAATATTTTTCCAGGCCCAAAAGTCGAGGTTCTTTGAAACACTGATGCGAAATTGCTATTTTATCTCTTCAGGTCACGCAAGGCAAGCTTTAATTTTTATCTTTATTTATTCATGAATGAGTACGTAGCTCCAGCTAAAAATGAGAAAGATCATTGGCCAGGCAACTATTTACCGGATTACTCATAATTCATTTCAAAGCTCATGAAGAATGACCAGAGGTTTTATCTCTTTGGAAGCCCGACATCCGTATATAGTGCCACACCCTCAAGGCCGCGGCCCAAATTCACTCCCGGGTTCGCTTTTCCGTCTAATGATGATCTATGGGTCACATACACGACTCTAGGTTCTAGAGATCCATATCTAGAAAAAAAAGGAAGCATCGAAGCTCGCATAATCATCGAGGTACGAGGAAAGACTGTGAAATAATCGCCGACGGCGTGTTTTCAAGAGAGGTTTAGATGCTTTTTTTTTTGCGGTCTCAGCATCGTATTTTTATTTTTTATTTTTTTACGTGAGATCTTTCGATTAACACCCACTACGCAGAGGAGTCATTAGAATGAACCACGGAAGAAACTAAATCAGGGGGAAATGGGTGGTTTTAAAAATTCTGAATTTTATTTTGACTCGATTTTTATTGAAAGGGTTTCATTTCATTTTTGATAAATGCTGCTCCCTGGCAAGTGTTTACCATGCCACGATTCCTGGCGAAATCTTCTTGAAAACCCCCGATATTCTTTTTATCATTGGAAACATTTTTGTGATGAGGTCTGAAAAGCTGTGGAATGAACAGGTGTTGAGTGACAGGCGAGAAATGAGCTTCGTTTTTCTTGCGCAACATAAGCTTCCAGAAAAAAAAATACTTCGTCTAATTTTTTTCTTTCGCATTTGAATTATTTCTCTCACTGGCAGAAATCAGATATCAAGCTGAGAACACGCTACTGATTCTGCTGCATTTCGAAGCCTGTACAGGTAATCCCAATTTTCATCATCATTTCTAATTCACACGTGAAATCTCCAGATCCAAGGAAATTTTAGTTTACCGTAGAATAAATGAGCAGAATTCGATCAAGTTGTATGTCCTCCCCTTCATTCTTTTTTTTTTTGGCGAAACTTCTGGAATAATTATGAAATTTCAGCAGTCATTCCGACATTTTTTCATTCTTCTTGAGGCATTTTGACGTTACTCCTTATCTATTCGCAAAAATTAAGATAAGTAATTGACACAATGTCCTGAAATTATTTTTTAATAAAAAGCACTTTCAATTTTGTGGGAAAAATGCCATCGTAGTCTGGAACTCAGGCAGATAACGGAATTGCGTCAGTATCATAAGCTCCTTGAAAAGTTTGAATTTCAATAAACTTAGCGAAGCACAAAGACAGTGAAAAAGATGGAAATTTTCTTCGTGTTCTTGGCTTCTTGTATCGCAGTGGCAACTGCTGAAAGTAAGGATAAAGCCCTTGTCAAACCCAAAATTACTTTTTTTCCGTATTATTTCTCTGTTTGCTGGAGGGACAGTCTGCATCCTTTTTCACAGGAAAAAGTGATGTGTAAAAATGATCTGTTAACGAGACTTGACGTCGTGGAACAATAAAAACGTTAACTTGAGGTTTTTTTCCTTTCTTTTGATGATTTATTTTCGAAAGATAATGAAGAAAAGACCACTTGAAGTTTCTGACACACCTACCAGACGCTTCAAGGTGTTTTTTCAAAGCATTTTTCCCAGATCTTAGAAACATTCGTCTGGTTCAGACGGAAAACTTTCCACGAGAAAATCGCCAAGTGCAAAAATCAGAATTCTGCTGGTGATCAAATCGCTGTAACCCAACAGTTTCTAACAGATTTTTTCTGCAATCTTTTCGTTAGTTTAACCAGTGAAACGTAACGATTTTCTCCTCCCGTATAGAAGCCCGATTTTTTTGGTGGCTAAAAATGTAGATGAAGTGCCCTATATAAAAATAATCAAGGCCAAGTCTTTTTTTTAAGATATCTCGGTCGGAAAAATTGGCTATTGTCATGAGTATGCAGTTTATCTATTGAAATATCTTCTAGCTGGTGGCCCTAAGGTATGAGGATTTGCATTAATAACATGCATGAAGGCATAATCCGCGAGTACTGCACCGAAAATACTTCCCTTTGGTGATTTCGAATTTTATTTCGCATCTCAACCTCTCATAAATATATCATATAATTTAATATATTATACGCACAAGTATTTGGAGGCCTTTCATGAAATCAATCGCATTTAAAGCACACACATTTTAATACAGTGTTTCGTAATATTTAGCGACGACTCGAGGCTAATAGTTTCTATGAAAAGGTGATAGTTTACTCTTAAGGGCTGAAACAAGAGTGACTCTCAATAATAGCCAAACTTAATTGTAGTGAAGGATTCAACGACTTTACAAGTGGATGTTAAACATGTCATACTTCCAGTGTTTGACTGGTTTCATGAATCCAACTTCGTACAAACTTTTTTAGCGTTCTCTGTAGATCACACGATATAATCTTCAAATTTAAAAGTCCAGTTCAATCCGTATAAGGCTTGTCCTTCTGACAATAGGAATTAGAACAATTATATGAGCCAAGAAGTCTTCAGGCGCCGAAATTCTGGCGAATCAATCACCGCATGTTAACGAGATGTAAATACTTTGACGACAAGTTTTCAACTGGTTTTTATCGTGAAATGAATATGAAGGAATTTAATTGTGAAGCATTCTATTTTAAAGTGCCATTGGAAGACCAACTGAAGCTTAGGAGGCAACCATCTGATGAAGTTGAAGATCACCAAAGCCCCAAATGGGATGAATGCTGGAACACGGTTGCGGAAGACGGAACTTACGGGTTTTGTGAGGCTGAGGGTTGCTGTGAGGGCAGTTTTTGGATTTCCAACTTGTGTCCCCATTACCCAGCTGACTGGAGGTGCTGCTTTTCAAGCAACTCATGCGCAACACGAGGAGGATGCACTTGTAAGATTCAAAATTTTATTTTCCACGTATCTTGTTTGAAGCAAAAACATTTCCCGGCTCGTCTTTTTTTCGGCACCAAAATCATTTTTACTGAGCTCAGATGTCGTCGTAAAATTATTCTTATGCAAGAGTGCATTTTTTTCATTCAAAAAGGTGTCTATGAAGTGGAAGGGGTTTTCAGTAAAATAGAAATAACACACTTTTTCGTGGGATTCCAATCTGCGCTGGTCATTTGCTTTCAATTTGAATTTCGAAGTCCCATGCTTATTGCTGATGATGAGGCAAAAAATAAATTTTACATCTTCACCCAGGAAAAATGTTCTGCTAAAAATCCAAAAAGACTGCTTTGTAAGCCACGTTAAAGCTAGTGTATAACGTATAGAAGAGCCAAATTGAAAAATGTTTGGGGAAATTTCAATATATTATATATATTATCTCCAGTTCAGTTTAAAATCTTTCTTGAGACATTTCCTGCAGGCCAGGGTCCATTTTGACGAGTATCAATTGAAAATTGAGATTTAACGATTTTTTTTCCATTTTTCAGGATTTAATTTTTTTTCAACAGTAATCAATACATTTTCTGAAATTTTTTATTCTGAACAGCCACATGCTCAGATGCAGATGCTCAGAGTTATGCATGTGGACTTCTGGACATGTACGAAAAAGGTCAAGTTTACCTCAAGCCGAATCACTTCAACAATGCAGGAAACAACCCATTCGATGGAGCGTCTGTTTTATCCAATATCAAGGACACATGCTTGGGAATGATCGTCAAGCGTTCCTCGTAAACCTTTTTAAAAACGTTTTTTCGTCGACGCATTTTTTAAAAGTACATTTAGGCAATATTTTGAACAAGCAAATCATTTCTGGGAACCTAAAATTGCAGATACAGTTGCGCAGAGGGTTCGAGTCCCGGAGGCTGCATTTGCCTCACTAGCAACATGCTGGCCGCACTTTGGACTTACGCCACCAACTATTATGCCAACTATGGCCTTCCCATCTCAGTAAGAAACTCATATTTAAGTGAATGTCTCGTTTCGATGTATTATTGAGTGCAAATTATGAATGGTAGGTGAACGCTCTTGCTGGAAGCTGTCATTCCTCCAACTCGTGGCATTATCGAGGGAACACCTTCGACGTCGCTTGCACTACTCCTACGTTAGTCAATCACATTGATTATTCACCAGAATATGCATTAAAAAAATTTCGAATCACAGAAACCATTGTTCGGCCTTGGTGGACTTCGTGAGGCAATATCAACTCAACGAACTTTGTTATCCTGGAGGACCTTGTTCTGGACACGACACTTGGGTCCACGCCGTTTTCGCATAGACGATGTTTCAGCTCAATTCCCTATATTTATGAAATAAAATTTGGGAGATTTTTTTTATCCCTGATCAGTTTGAAATCATGCACTTTGTTTCCTTCGAATCGCTGCTCAATTTCGCCCCTCGTGCTGCCCTCCGATGCGATACGGTTGAGGTGAAGAAACTAGTCTTTCAGCCTGAGCGACACCTGTAACATTTATTTCATCTAACGCAAGCGTTTTTTCTAAGATTCCCGGATAGATGTCAGGCGAAACATCTACACTAGTCTGCTTTCGGTGCAGCAATATTTTCCAACCTTTTCGGGCCAGCAGATCGGAAAATTTCCAAAAAATGTCGGCAGGCAGACGAAGTTTTATATTTGCAGACCAAAAAATTGTTGCTTGAAGGACTTTGAGGCGGGTTATTAGGAAAATGTGTGCTGTTTTGCAAAAATTAAGTTGAGAATCAATGAATTAGCTACAGTGAAATTTCATTAAATATTAAAAAGGTGGGCTTGAAGAAAAGTTTCTCAAAATCAAAGTTAATTTTTCAATAGATGAAAATTTGTCTGAAACGTTATTAGGAGAAAACCAACTTTTATTTTCCATCAGATAATTTCAACTGCCATTGTCATTCTGATATTTCAGATATAACTGACAGACTAAATTGCTAATTTCTATGAATGTATTATGCTGAAGAAAATCTCGCACTGGGAAACAAAATTTGTGGACCAGTGCTGGGGGAGGGGGGGGGGAGAGACCAGGTATTAAAACACTGTTCTACAGCAAAATGTCGATTTCTATGTCAAATGATCAATGAAATACTATTTCACGTCTTGAAAAACAGAACACGTTTAATTGCCATATGGCTTTCCGCAATGCCTTCGAAAGCTGTATTAGAATACAGTCACAAACACCGCGAATATCGCATGACGCGGCGACGCACAAAATGTTCACTCATTGCGCTTTACTTCTGCTTCGCAAAAAAAAAAACTGAAGTTCCTTCTTAGAAAAATATAATTAGAAATGCAGCCATTTTTGAGTCATCCGCATTATTGTGGAACCACGGGAATTTCCCGAACTAAACTGCAATGACAGAGCCCGGCTTGTAAGGGATTTTCCGACTCTGTGTGAGATAGCTGGTTTCGTCCCCGACTCGCGTCCATTGGGTTGGAAGTCCTTCATCGAATTGCGTTTCCCCGAAAAGTCTCTCACCACCGTCCCTATTGAAGAAAAGCACACTTTTCCAGGTATAGAATACAATACACAATACAGTATTTGTACTCATGTCATGGATCCACACAAGGTTTTCGACTTGAGGAATCATACACACTCATGTCCAACAAACTCTCAGAAATATTCAGGCAAGTGCTCCCCACCTTTTTGGGTCCGCGGGCCGGTAAATTTTCATGAAATTTTTGCAGACCAGCAGATATTTTTGTAATACCTGTCATCAAAACTACCAGCCGAAAGTTGTATCAATTGTTAAAATCAAGTAGAGAAGCAAATATAGTGGAATGTTTTCAAAAATTGGAAAGCTGGGTTCAAAAATTTTTTTCTCAAACTGAATACATGAAATAATTTATTTCAGCAAGTTATTATTTTGATTGGAGGTATATTAGGAGGAAAGCCGACTTTTACTTTTTGTCACATGATTTAAATTGAAATTGATTTTCCAAATAACTTTCAGGTAAAAATATGAATTTTAATTACTCAACTACCTCTGAAAAATGAAGTGTGCCGAAGGAAATGCCCCGCGGACCAGGTAAAAACTTCTACAAACCAGAGGCACCTGATACGGATTTCAGCCCACAGATTTAAGCTATTAAAAAAGGGTTCGTTATTTCTGTTTCAGTGTCGTGTAAGAACTTCGGATCCGACAGCCTAATGAGAAGTGTTCATACTGACTGTTGTAATTACCAATTATACAAAATATTCTAATCGGATGGACAGCAGAACTTCGCGCTGATGAATCACAAGATTTCTTATTGGAGCTTTTTTTTTTTCAAATCCGACAAAGATTTTTAATACTGTCGAAGATGAAGGTGAAACACGAAGAAGGGCTAATTCTTCGTTATCACTCCATTTAGAATTCTTGCGTGGATCTGCCAAGGTAATTATCTCAGTTACAAATGAACGGGAGAAAATCCGAAAATATTTTCCATCTCCGAAAAAAAAGGAAATTCTTCCGAGAAATATGCAAATATGCTTCATCAATTGAATATCAACTTTGCTCTTACCACTGCCGTTGAGATCTGCCACCAGATTTCTTGCGTCCTTTCATCCTCGCCTCTCCTGTACAGAACCACGAAGTACCGAAACAACAATGAGTTATTTTTTCGTGTTCGTGTGCCAAATTTCTCAGTTCAGACGGCCGGCAGGGAAAGAACATAACTATCAGTAAGCCTATCTCACCAGAACGCTTGAAGTCATAGTCCAAAGTTCTGTAGCCGGAACTTTTGAGGGATTCCCTGGAGCAGCCGTCGCTTTCGTCGACGGAAGAACGTGAATAAGCCGCGGGCAAACGAGATCGCTTGCCTCCAGTTCCAGAATAGATTTCCTGCGGCTGGAATTAAAATGTCGATACATTATTGCAAGAAGGGCTTGGTATTATGAAGTTAGCACTGGAATTTTGCTGAGAGCAAAATGTATGCAAATCTGGCCTACTTACTTGGGCAGGATGGAAATATGGGCTCCGCTCGCCTCGACACGACACCTTCAACGTGTCCGCGTCCAAATACCGCTGATAATGTGGGTGTGGTTGTTGAGGTGGCTGGCTTTCAGTAGGAATCACTGGGAACGTCGCATACGGACTGATTTCCTCTCCACAATCTTATAAAAATTACGACATTCATCAAACAGAACAAAACGGAAACTGGAATTGTGAATACATGCGCGACATCTATCCCATTCACAAGAAAAACACGGTGCTCGCAGGCCGAAATTGAGCAGTTTTGAAAGATTGTCGAGTATCACACAGGTGTCGGTGGAATGGCAATTCTTACATACAGAGTAGAACATTAAAAAATTTCAAATAACTGTTTGCACTAAATAACAATAGTAATACTGTACTGTATTACAGTATATATTAAAATGAAGATAGTTGCATGTTTTTGCTTGCTTGTTCTCTGAATCTAAACTTCAGAACAAAGACATGTAAATACTGTATGTAAAAAATGCTAACTCATATTTAATACATTAAAATTATTTATAAAAATAATGCATTCTTTGATCACGAAAACATTAATGAAACACAGATTGGTCATGTTTCCAAAAGTTCTTCGGATATCACATCGGTGTCGTCTGGATGCTGATATTTCTTTATTTTATGCATACTCATTTATTTACTGTATTTCCAAAGTTCAAGTTATAGTTCAGGGTCATTTTTTTCAGGATTAGTTAACTTAAAATATGGTATAATTTTTTCAGTTGAGGAATGCTAAATCTTTTCTGAGAATTAATTTTTCCCAGAAGCAAAAAGCAATGATTTGTGCGTAATACAGTAAATGTTTTACATGTGCAGTAGAATCTTATTGTAACGACAATCTCATTATAATTGATGATCAATTGAAAGGAAGTCGTTTTTAGATCTCTGTCCCGCAATTTCCACACTGGTGAGATCAACTTCGTCATAAATGTTTTTTTTTACAGCAAAGCTATTTTACTGGTCAAAATGGTTTCGTTGTAACGATATTTTAACACGCAGTATTTCACCTTTGTACAGAATTTTTAATCAAGTCTGTGGCACAATGTGTTGGAAGGTGAGAGGAAATGATTTATGTGACATCAATACCTCCATTTCCGATCGAGAAAAACTCCCCAGAAGGAGTAAATTCAGGTTTCCTGGCCAACAATTGATCACGGAAACCAGTGCTCTGAAGAGGAATAGCGTTGTTTGACATCATGGTCCTCATGTAAACATCTTTGCTGTAGTCTGGTTGGTTGAAATAACTCGCGTTTGTGCCTGAAAATATAAAATCTTCAAATTAGAATACCCAGGTATCTCAAGTATAATCACAAAGAGGGAAAGCGGAAATTTTTGGGTAAAAATATGGTGTTGAACCTCTATATGTTGATTTCTAGGGACCAGGAAAACAAATTCGACTAAGGGAGGTTTTGACTTAAGGAGGTTGTGATTTTTGGAGGTTTCCAGTTGAGAAAAAAAACACTTTTGTTGTGAGGAGCAGTGAAAAATAGTGTGGGAAATCATAAATGAGAATACTCTGGGCCAAAACTAGCTCTTTAATGAGTTTACACCTTCCTGAAATTGGAGGCAGGGGTTCATTTGCTATTTTTGTTTTTCCATTCCTTACAATTAAGATGCATCACATTAAAAAAAAAAATCATTTTCTCCTTCATATTTCAAGGAAATAATAACCAGAAGGCCATAAAAAATTCGACTTATAGAGGTTTTACAGAAAAAAATTCGAGTTAGAGAGGTTTTTAATGTATTGATTCGAAGGGAATGCAGACAGGGACTTGAAAAAAACTCGAATTAGGGAGGAATTTGACTTAGGGAGGTTCGACTTATTGAGGTTCACCTGGAAAGCAAAAATTCTGTGATCGAATTGACCTACGTTTTCTCAGACACAAAACAACTGCTGCTACTGTCACCAAGACAGCAAGGCTGCTGGCGGTTATTGGGATCACCAGTCGTAAGCTGATGCTTTTTTGCGCCGTTTCTTCTCCAGTTTTTGACTCGGACTCTGCAACCGTCAACTCGGATTCCTGAGTTGCTCCTGAATCAATGGAAAGAAAACGTGAAACGTATTTTATCGTAATTCATTTTCGATTTTTTGTTGCTTACCAGGTGAATTAATCGTTTCATTGTGCATAAACTTGGTCCTCGTGCTGAAGAACGATGGCTTGAGCCTGTGATTGTTGTTGAGAACTGGTATTATTCTGAGGTCGTAATTGGTCCCCTTTTGTAGTCCAGGTAAAATGTAGTAGCCGAATGGTGGAATGGCTCCTGGAGCTGGAGAAAAAAATCCAGACAGGGTTCATCAGTATTAAAATACTAGAGTATTACCCGGGTAATTCCCTTGAACCCTTAAATTGCGGGTTACATCTTAAATTTACAGTATTCAAATTTCCAATGTATAAATTGAACAAATCGGATGCTACCTTCTTTCAGGGTCAGTGGATGACTTCTCTTGAATTTTAGTCCACTTTCATTTTTATGAAATGAGTTCTGCATGTAAAGCTATTTTTAAAGTTTTGATGAAAACTAATGAATTCCTTCCTTGGCGCCTGGTTTCGAATGAAAAACTTGTCTGAAAAAAGATTAAGGATTTATGCCTCTATAAGCTTTCTCAACATTTGAGCTGTCTCATCTAAGCCGTCTCAGCGATTCATAATCAGTCAGAAATTTCTTCATTTCTGTCTGATTTAAAAATTTTCCATGTTGCTTATTTTACTCCAGTGAATTCTTACAGCCCGCAAAACTTTACAATAATCAAATCCAATTTTCGAAGATTAACATTTAAGAAAATGTGAGAATTCAGGATATACTGTACTCCATTTGTTGAATATGTTAAATTTTACTACAGTTGTCTTGAAAGCGGCAATGCATAAAAGAATGAACGAGTGAGTTCTCCTGCAAGATTCATTAATTTTAACTCAGCTTTCAACCAATATAATGTATTTTATATCTTAATTGCGGTCGGACGCGCCAAAAATACAGGGTTACCAAAAAATGAAAGATATATACATTTTTCAAAATTTTAGGACAGAATTAATCCTGCAGTCTTGCATGCTATCTGACTTGCAAAGTTTGTGAGATCAACTTTTTTGTTTTGTTCGTGGAATTAATATTCATCACCAAAGATCACGCTGAAGCGCAGGGTACTTTTTGACTGAAAATTCTGTACGAGATATATGCATCAAGGCATCGCACTTATGTCGTATTTTCGGAATATTCCGGGTGTACCGAAGTATGCAGTATGCAGTACTGCGCTCATTTTTTTTTTCAACGGAAATGACGCACATAATTTCGAAATTCTATTCGAGATCGTGACGTCCTTATTCTGAACATCCTGATCCGAAAATTTCCCAAGAGAAGAGATACCGTACCTTGGATCCAATGCAAGGAGTCGGACTTTTTGTAGTCCACGTAGAATTTGGATATTTCGCAGTCGCCGAGTTGGAATTCCTGCAGCCCTACGGAAATGAACTCCAATTCCGGATGAATGGGGATTTTCTGCTCCCTTCTTCGTCCATTGCCTTGGGGCTGGATCCTGAGCTCTTGGCTTTGCTGACTCCATCCGATGGCATTCCTGCTCTTTATATTCACTCGGTAGTTTTCCCCGCATGTGAGTTCCTAGATTAAATGAAGTAAACGGGATTAGGACTAATTGTTTCCTCGCCCGTCGTTTTTTTTAAAATCATTTTAATTATATCCACAGCGATGAGGAAAATGCGAAGGCATCGCGGGAAAATTCATCAAAACTGAAAAGCACAAAAGGATGCTGTAAATAAAAATCACTAAACGATAGTTGATTATGCTGTATCACATGACTCAAATGGCACATGCTTTTCACTTCTGGTGACCCCATTTTTAATCTAGGAAATTTAAGAAAATATTGCTCAATTCTCAATTCAACAAAAATATAAGTAAACCAGTTTTGTGCCACGGGCAGATTTTTGCACTGGATAGGAAGTTGGATTTCGAATAACGATTCATGGATAGTACACCAAATAAAGAATTGCAAAAGTGCCCGCAGATAAATATTCACGTCTTACAATGGCTGCGTGAATTTCAAATTTTAGCGTCAGGGCCTCAGGGATTCGTATGAATTTCGCAAAAGGTACCCGAGATGAGATTTCATACCTGGATTTTGTGACTACGTTCAGTTGACAAGAGCAGTTTGGTCATCCAGTGATTTTCTTCACTCTCACTTCTCCAGCTCAGCAGAAAATTTTCTATAGGTTTGTCATTGACAAAGTGATCTTGGGTCCATTCCACACTCACGGAGTCACTGGTTCGATGAATTTCCGTCAAAACCGGCGCTTGTGGGACATCTGAAAGCAGATAAATATACACGAAAGATTGAAATCTAACTGCTTCTGAGCATATTAACCAAGAAAAAAATTTGGAATATTCCACACTTTAAAACGCTAGAAGAGAGTTGAATAAAAGCTTGTATCAGTCTCTTCTGTTATTCTCTGTTCGACAATATTTAGTGGCATTGAGCGTAATATTTGTCCAATATTTTGAAAACCATGAAGTTATTGATCCAAGACCACTGAATAATTTCTCCCAATTACAGTGGGGCCTCGATCAAGATGCGGACGTAATTGGTGCTGGACCTTGCCCCTATGTCAAAGCGTCCGCATGTTGGATCAAATTTCCCCATAGACGTCAAAAGGAACATACAGTATCTAATAAGTTCTCCCATAATTATTCAAAAATTAAGAATGAAGCCCTCAAAAATGGGTTCTCAACTTCAATATACACAGATAAACTGTACAGAATCTGATCTTCTGCCAGCATCAGGAACAACTCAAGAAGCAAAGAACATGAACAAGTCTTTCTATACTGTGCACACAGTATGAAAAAAAAAATTCTGAAACAAATTAGCCCCTTCTGATCAAGAATCAGAGTAATATCACACTGTATCAAAATTTAGAAAAGATTGCTTCTCAATTTTTCAAGAAATCTTGGGAGAGTGTGTGCGTCTCAAGACATTGTCCAGACGTCGAGGTCCATATATATTTTTTTCAGTGTCCCTAATTCGCATCGTCCGTTTGTCGAGATCCCTCGGCTGCATTTCCTACATCGCCAAGGGGCGGTTATTCTTTTATTCCCTGTTGTATGGACTTCGAGTGACATCTGTCCAACAGATAGGAAGAACGGAATATTCGTCACCTTGAACAGAGAGCCAAACAGTCCGATGAGCCCGACTGTCGCCGTTTTCAGCAAAACAATCAATGCGACCCCCGTGTTCCACGTGTGCGTGCTGCAAAGTCAAATGCACCACAGACAAGATCCCGTCTTCGCCTTCACGGGCTTCGAAATGCTTCTCCACGCTTTGAGGAGCAGCAGTGCCTCGGGGGATCCCTGCAAAATTCCATGTGATCTTCGGCGCAGGTTCCCCGATGAAGTTGCACTCTATTTTGATGAAAGAGCCCTTGCTGACTGTGTGGTTCCTCGGAAGGTCCGCCGATGCCAAACGTCCTGGAAATGGGTCACGAATCTCACGATAAACAGGGTCAATGACACCAAGGTTCGATGCGACCGCGAAAACATACGAGGGTTGGCCAAATATTGGGCGTGACTTCGGTTATTTCTACAGAACATGAAAGAGGCCCATGATATTATACCGTTTCTGGGATTTTTTCGGATTTTTAAACAAATTTTCAATTTCGTGCGCGGTTATAAGTGAAAAATCTTCAATTAACGCCTTTACTAATGTCACAGGGTGATGGAAATTTATCTGGACAACTGAAAATTTAAATTTTGTGGTAGTTTCAAGCACTAAGTAAAATTCAGAAAACATCATGGTCGGAAAAAATGAAAAAACTGGAGAGTTCTCGCTCATCATTGCAGTGCATCAAAAAATTAAAACCCGAAAAAAAAATTCCAGAAGCTGAGAATGTAATGGGCTATGTCGTAATTTTCATTTTTGTAGGCATGTACCTATACTCTAGAAATAACCAAGGTGGGACAATCCACGTAAAGCGCAAAGGATTCTTCATTCTAGGCGTTAATTTATTCAGTATTTGATTTAGATTTTACTTTTTTGGCGGATTTATAAATTGTCATTATCCATCAATGAATGCATTTTTACATTTCCAAGGAACGAAGCTCTATTGAGAGTGCAAAACATGAAACCTCATCGAAACAGGACAAGACCCAATCAGGAAAAGTGCCTGTAGAAGAACTTGCCGCATGCTCTAAGCATGAAAAATGATTGTTGTAGCCAGAGAGAAATGCAGGCTGAGACATCAGAAATTTCCAATTTCGATATATATAAAGAATAATAGTTCAGCAAAGAATTATTGGAAAGATCAGTTTAGGGTATCCAGGTTTCTGTCTGTATGTAATTTGAAAGCTTTCTAAAACTGGTCAAGACCATCATTTTCATTCGAAAAGTCATTCAGTAATCCTCCTCTGATGGTCTTTCCTAATTAGAACACATTAAAGTACTGGTCTTAATTTAAATTCTCCAACATCCGGCAATATTTAGAACAGAAATTCCAGAACTTACGGAAAATTTGTCATCCATATGATCAGTATATTCACTGTCCACGTGCAGATGGCTTGGATTCTCATGGATTTAATGCTCAACTATTTTCTAAAATCACACGAAGATGTTGCCTGAATTTTGAAAGTTGACACGGAATGAATGAATAAATAATTTACGTCTACCCAACCGGATGGAGCCGATGTGCCCTAAAATATTATAATGTTATCCTGTCCGACCAACATTACCTAAGTTTAGTTCAACTTGAGAAACGATCACAAAATTCAGTCAACATCTACATGATATTCAAAAAAAATCAGGCTCAAAAATGATTGAAAAAATCGATCTGAATTCTTCATGCGGAGTAAATTTGAATCAGTCTTCGGCCTCTTTTCAAAAATTTCAGAGGAATTTCCAGCAGTCCAACTAAATGACCAATCATTATGCTCTCAATAAAAAATCTCTCATACCGGGATTCGAAGCAGAAAGGTTGAATATATACAGGCACATTTGCTGGATTCTCTCCACAACGATTTTCTTTACTCTGTACCCATTATTTTTTTTTTTGCCAACGGGTTCTCTCCATATGTCACGCGAGTTCTCTATATACTGTATACAAATAAATTCTTTCTGCAACAATATTTTGTCTGTCTGGTACCTCGAATTTTGTTGCAGAGAGAGAGTCCAGCTGTATTAAAAAGTGTAAACTATCTCACCGGTCGAGCCCGTGACCTCGATGAACTTGGGCGAAGGCAGGCTTTCCGCAGTATCGGACAGTGCGGTGACCCAGAATTCGTACCTGGTGCCGGCTTTAAGCCCGGTTTCGTAGGTCGTCAAGTCGCCGTTGGTGGCAGCCAGATTTCGGTGCGCGATTGTCGGGGACCGAGACCTGCTGGTCCCATCCAAAGTTTTCCGATAAAACCTGTAACCACTGATTTTGCACTTGCTGATCCTCGGCGGCAGCCATGACACGAACACCGCGTTTTTGCCGGCTTTCACCACTTTTATCTGTTCTGGTGGGTCGGGATCTACGACAACATATATACAGAAGAAAAGAAAGAAGAACAAACGAGGAGAAAAACGTGAAATAAATCCTTCATGGCATAAACATTTAGAAATGTACTGCTGAAATATTGGGTAAAGTAACATCTGTCAGAAGTTTTTTCTCGGGGATGGAGAGATATGGACTCGGAGAGAAAAACGTGGGGCCAAGTTATATCTGTATATTTTGTGCCTTCGAAAACATGTCCTTTCGAGTCGTCTGAAATAATGTCCCAAACTTTCAACAACAAAATTTATAACTCTACTCGAATTTTGAAGAACTTGAAAGTCACTGAGAGAAATCAACGACGCGCACTTATTCAGCATGAAAACGTATTTGTAATACGTACAAAAGAATAATTATGCAGCAAGATATTGAACAAAACTGCAGAATTGAAAATTTTAAAGAGAATTTAAACTTTTTTGAATGTTAACATCTTTAATAGCGTCACTTTTGTTTTTCCGTGCGTTTTCCTCGCGTTAAAATCAAGTTTTATGCTTGAATTTAGTTTTATTCATGGAAAATATCTTTTTAATAATTTATGAAGACAGATCTTCCAGGCTTCGGATGGACGTGATAAGCCATAGACGTTTCAAGGAATTGATTGTTTCTCTCTGCCCTGGTATTTGGATTCAATTTATCTATTCAACTAACAGAGGCATCAATATGTAATTCAATTTAGAAAAAAAAGTCAAGTCACCTGATGGTAATGTGCTGCAGGACACGCTGTCACTGAAGGGTCCATGTCCACGAGAAGTGACTGCAGCCACAGAAACCCTGTGGTTTGTAAACGGCTGGAGGTTCTCAAACGTCAAAGACTTCATCTGTGTCTTTGAGGCCTCAATGTTGACTCGTTCTGAAAAAAATATAGATAAAAATTTGGTCTAAAATAAGTTTACGTTCAACCGCAAAATAAAATACCTGAGGAGCATTTGATAAGATCGTAAAGCGCAGAAAAGGGATCAAAACAAGGAATTTCTGCCCAGATCCAGAAGTGATGGAAATAAAGTCGACCATGTTTCCAAGGATTATTGTATCGAGGCCATTTTTTGACAAAATGTAAGCTTCCAAAGCTACCATACCTCCGAGGAAAAAATGTAGCTCCTCTCGTTTCCGGATGTTCCCACGTTTTTTGCATGTGACAAATGCATTCAAAATTTTCAGTCATTTTTATATAATTTTTCCGCAAATGTTTGACGCTTTAGAATCTAAAAGATAATCATCTGAAATATGCGTATTTCTGGGGACTTATTTTCCTTGAGTGGGACATACATGCATGTCATTAGTGCGACAAGCCTTAAATTCTGACACGCGTTCTCAGGACACAGGAACTGTCAGAAGTCTCTAGGAGATTATAATAAACCATCGAGCTTTTGATGCCTTCGTGTATTGAACATTTGAAATGCATCCGAGAGTGGAACAGCACAAAAGACTCACCTGCACCTTCCCATTCCCGGTGTACTAAATAATGCGCAATGATCCCATTACGTTCCGGGGAAGCAGGTGGGTCCCAAGTCAATTCGATCCTGTCTGGGGTACTGGTCCGACACACGAGGTGCATTGGGGGTCCACTCGGAACTAAATATATGGTAGGACCAGCAAAGAAAAACTTTCGATTTTACCAAGACACATATGGAGAGCGATGGTTATACCGACGAAATATTGAGCATCAAGAAGTACCATAAAAATACAATCGTATTTTCTACATCTCTTATAAATGCACATGTGCTCAAAGTTTGTGAATGTTTTTCATCGATTTATCGGTCGAAGTTTATACTTAATGTACTTCACAGTTACGCAACGAACGTCCAAGAATTCATTCTTCGTGATATTTTCGAATGACGTAGATGTCGCTTCAGTCTTGATTTATGTGGGATGGTTCGAACATTTTTTTTCAGCACCTCATATTGCATGTAAACTTATTCGAGTACCCAAGTTCATTTTCAGTGGAAACTAAAGTTTTATGTGATGATGCTGATAATTCATGAGTCCAAAAGCTTCAAGCAACTTGAAAGGATATAAAAATGTATTTCGACAGCAGCACGAGTTTCAGTGAAGTAACGTACTGTATTTGTTTTCTCTCAGCTCGAAATTTCATTCTCTGTCCGTTTTTCAGCTGACAAAGAAATGAATTTAATTTTTTCCGGTAGCCAATCTTTTTTTTAGCATAAACTCATTAGCTGTGAAAAAAGAACACGACGTCTTGAAGAAAGCGTCTGGTTTTTATAACAACAGCAGATATAAAACTCGTTAAAGATTATTTGTTGCGTTCGAGTATTTCAGAAGAATACCTTCACACTCAGCGTTTGGGCTGGGGAAAACCCCGTTTAATTCAAGCTCAAGGTCGTCGTCGTCATCGAACATTTCTTGGCGAATATTAGCAAAGTTTGATAATGACAGATACGATCGCTCACCCTCTTCGTAGGTTTCGACAGCGACGGGTGTCGAGTGTGGGCCAGGACCTTTGCTCGTCACGGCCCTGACGACGACCTGATATTGCGTGTAGGGCGAGAGGCCGTCGAGTGTCGCACGGAAATAGTGTCGAGAACCCAGGGAAAGTCCGACTTCCGGTGCCACGTCTCCGGCCGCCGTCGACTGCCACTCGTATTCCCGTCGTTCATCCCTGAAACAAGCAGCAATAAATGCATGAAAACATTGACAATAAATGAATAAAAATCCCTATCGATTATTGTGAGTGAAATTTAAAATCTGCATAAAAAAGCAACAAGCAAATAAAAATTGTTACAATAAATGAGTAAATAAAAATCCCAATCGACTGTGAATTAATTTTTACAGCTGAATAAAAACAAGCAAATAAACAATTTGATTTTGAATGACATTTTAAATCTGAAATTCAAAAAATTTCCAAGCAGCGTGCTCTGCTTCAATTCAAACTTTTGTAATCCCCGACTAGCGACGATAAGTTCGCATGATAATCAGAGATCAACTGTGCGAATATTTCCGAGCGAAGTGGACACATTTTAATTTGAATGTTGAATAACAGACAAACCACCTGATCCTGCACAGTATAACATTAATCTACATCATTTAACTTTCGAGAGTGCCGAGCATATTCCGACACAGGTCGTCCTGTTGAGTAATTATGCGTCACATTCCATAATAAAGTAATGCGATTTTGTATTTTTAGCATGCTAAGAGCTTCGTCGGTTGCACTCAGTTCCGTTCCACGAAGAGTCCCCATCATTTTGGCAAAAGGTTTAAATGCGCGAAGTCCGCCTTTCAAGAGACAAAGTGCGTGCTCTGGAAAAGCTGACAATGCGCAATTAGCACACTTGCACACTTTGCTGTTATCCCAAGCCAGACCCCTGAAGCGATAGCACAGCAGACTCTGCATTAGGGTGTCCCGGAAATGTTCCGATCTCACTTTCTCGGAAATTGCGAGGAAGTACGTATTTGGAAACCTTCTGATGGTTCGAAAAAGGTATGAAAAAATCTTAACATCATGAAGTACAATGGTTAACGAGAGGATTATGAAAGTAATGAGCTACAAGGCGAAGCAACTTTGACCTTTCATCTTGAAACTCCCCAATGTAGAATTCTGCGAAATGGCTGAATAAAAGAGAAGAGAAGTTCGAGACCAGTTGAAAAATAATGAGTTCAGGAACTTCCGGAACAAAGAGAGAATCAGATTGATCAAGACACCCCTTCATCTTGAAGATAATGTACCGAACTAGAGAGTATTCAAAATTGAATAAGAGGAAAAATCCCGTGATAAATTGAAGTAATTTTTGTATCGATGTACCTCATCAGCAAGAATTAAGCATCAATTTCAAACTACTGCCCTAATAAATGCTGCTAAAATTCTGCATTTAAAATACAATTCTGTTATGGCGCTTTTTTTGAGTCATACGTTAGCATTTGAAATTCATAATGGTGAACACATTTCATAATAAATTGATACCGTGAAAATTTTCACAAGCCAATTCAAGTGCCATATGGACATTTACAATATTCGAAAAAAAACCTCCACCTACCGGGAAATTTCTTTCTATCTTTCGGAAGAAAAAAACTATGCGTGCCGAAAGTAAAATGTAAAAAAATTTGGATTTCGACCATCTTCTTCAGTCTTGTTTTTTTTTCTGCATCCTCGGGACGTTAAAAAATTCCAGGTTCATCCGGCCTGGCTTGAACACAAGAAAGCCTTTCAAATTTCCAATATGATGTCTTCTCAAATGTTGGACTGCTGTGCACAAGTTAAAAATTATTCCATTCAAACTCGTGAGGAAATATACACTCCTTCTCAACACCTGGCCATTCCAACATCCACATATACACAGCAGCTGGGAGAACCGATCGAGTCCAAAGTTCAGAACGGTACTCCAACTAGTCCAACACGGGTATCCGTCATAATATTACAATAACAGGCCTCACCCATATCGACGGAATCCCAAGTGATACGCCAATACCAGCCCATTCTCGTCCTCTGTGGGCACGTGGCCCCAGGACACGGCCACAGTGCGGGCGTACATCGAGGAAGCAGACACGTCCGTGGGAGCGGAAGCCGGACGTTCTTCCTCGGTCCGGAAGTGGAGCGTAGGCGACGGGGAACTGATGCCCATGACGTTGCGTGTCCGGACACGCACGACGTAGTCACGTCCGGGACGCACGTCACTCAGCTTCCCGCCACGAGGACTCGCCAGCACTGTCGATGACGGTGACGACGACCAGGCGTCGCTGTTGGCATCTGTGTGTGTGTGTGTGTTGGGGATGGGTCATGAAAAAGGAAAATAATTCAAGAGTTGTTGACCCGAAAGTGATGAGTTTGATTCGGACCAGAAAATCGTTGATTCAGACTATACAAGGAAAGTGATGGACACAAAAACGAAGTTAAGCGGTGCACAGTAAGCTTGTCTTTAAAGAAGAACAATAAACATGATCAATACATTTTTAGCGAAGATGTTTTAATAAATCAGCCTTTGCACATTTTGATTGCGAGTGAATTTCGACATGAAGATAATACACAAGTTTGGGAAAAATAAGACAGAGAAAGTATCACCTTCAAAATAATCTGACTACAGGATAAAAAAAACTAATGGCGCAATGAAATTAAATTCTACAGGCAAAAAACATCAGTCTGTCTGATTCGGTCTTGAATTTTTGATATTTTATTCATTTCCCTTCAACTGACGACTGGCAATTTTATTGCGACTCGAGCACAATCGATAATGAGGAAGATATTCGGTAAGCTGCAATAACTTCACGACCGGAAACATCCTTTCAGTCTTTGATGAAGCGACGAGATAAGCAAAAAGTGCTCATCATATACTGCATTCAAAATGCAAGTTCTTTATGATGAGGGCACCTGATAAAGGCGATGATTTTTGACATTTTCAGGTTTGTCGGTAAAATCTTTTTTTTTTTAACATGCGATGATGAACTTATATCTCATCCTTCGTGGCTTTCCCCCACCTCAAATTAAAATATGTTTTCTCAGTATTATTCATTAACCGCATTCATTCCTTTCAAAAACCCAGATATGAAACTTCAACTCTCTTCTCTAAAGCATTGAATAACGAAGGAATTTAAGTAGCGTCTCTCAAAAAATGTATACCAGCAGTCGTCTTGTTTAATTGTAACTAGGTGACATCCACAGAAAATAAATAGGGAAAAACGATGTGCTCAGCCCAAACTAGAGATCTGTACTGTAATCTGGCGAACAAGCTGAATTCTAACCCACGACTTCGAAGAAATTTTGGAAAATTCCAGTCTCTCGTTTCCTACACCCATGCTGCAGACTTCGTGCTCATCACAAGTGGGCAAACAACTTTCCAATCTCTCAACCGGTTACACGCTTGTTTTTTTTTTTCATGAAAGCCAAGTAGGATGCTTCTTTGTTTACCTGTCTGGGGTCGAAGGAAGAACTCGATGACGAACTCGTCGTTGTCGTCCGAATGATCGCCGTCGGGTTCCCACGACAGCTCGACGGATCGACTGCCAACTGACTTCAGTCTCACCAGCCTCGGCGGTTTTGGCAAGTCTGGCAAGCAAACAAACATTGCATCTTCATACCCTGACATGAAAGGTGACCAACGATTTACGATAGAAAAGTAAATACATACTTTTCCAGCGTACATTATATATACAGTATTGTACAGTACAGTACAGTATAATGTCTATGCATACATTTATATGAATGAGTTTTAAACCTTGGGGAAGAGGCGGAAAAAATCGGATTGGATCTAAAGTTAGACTTAGATCAATCAGACCAATTTATGTATAATCATTTTTAAGCCAGGATACTTTCTTGCTGGTTTTTTCCACCTTCTCTGGGACTACTTTTGCTTGAAAAGGTTCAATTGGATGATGCTGAATTGTATCTGGGAACGGGGTTCACCTATTGGCTTATCTTTTCAAATATAGCTTTCTTTCGAATATGTTGATGATTGGAAAGTATCCATACAGATAAAATTCTGCATCAGACTGCATCTTTTATCCAATGAAAAATATCGGAACTGAAAATCTTCTGGAAATTATGCACAAACGACAAATATTGCCCAAGAAAATTTCCATGTCCGGTCTGCTGTATTTAGAAATATGCTTTGAAATGATTGAATGTATTTGGGGGAGTTGGGTTGGGTGGGGAGGGGGTTTGGATGCAGGAGTTCTGGTTATCCCTTGTGAACGCTGAAAAGCGGCAAATGAAGTTTTCTGTTCATTCATTCATAGAAATATGTTTGTAGAAATTAAACAGGTTAGCTTGGAGTCCCCATTGATCCCACTTGGGTTCTGAGAATTCAGACTGGAAAACTTTAGTTTTTGACTAGGTAAGAACGCTATTTACCCTTCGCAGGTAAAATAAATAAATTTTAAAATGGATAGAAAACTTATCGAGCAGAAAATTTAGACGAAAGTATTCTTTATTCTTCTTTGAGAAGGCCCAAACTAGTTCAGATTGCTTCATGTACAAATAAAGAAGTCAATAGAAAAAAAAAACCTTGGATGCCTACGCGCGAATTGTGAGGGAAAAACTAATATAATTGGAACGCACAACAGAGGTAAATTCGCCGATTTCATCGTTGATTTATCATTGCATAGAAAACCCTTCGGAAACAGATTACGTGTAAATAAATAGGAATCGTAGCAAGAATAGACCCAGGAAGTGAACCTCAGCCAGACACGCAGCAGATGTAGAAAAATAGAAGCCAACGTCAAACGGTTTGGTCCAAGGAAAAATCGGCTTCACTTCTCACCCGTTCTTTTAAAATAAAAATAAAAAAGTCTGGGGAAAAGATTACAGGGATGAATGAAATCCTGAGAAACCGGGCAACTTCAATCCCACCCTGAGCGATTAACGTTTTAACCCCGCTCAGGCTCCAAAAGGAATTTCGCTGATGGTCTTTTTTCCCCGACAATAGAAAATCCGAAAACGTTAGAAATATCGAACCCGAATATTAAAGCTTTCTGAGAATCATTCTTTAAATCCTTGGATTCTAGCTCAGTATGAGGTAATTCTGACATTCTCATTTGCTTCCG